CGCAGATGCGTTTTTGCGGGAAATAGAACATATTTTTAGACCCATCTAAAAGTTCTGTAATTAGTCTGGAAATAGGGAGACTAATTCTTGCATATTGTGAAAACGGGTAAGATTAAGGTTATTACATTTTAGCCAATCTTCGCTATCGTTACTGTTTGCCCTAGCAACGCCGGGCTTATTTGCTAGTTCGGTTATAGCCTACGTTGGATAACTCTAGACGGAGGCTCTAAAATGATGCGAATAAAATATAAAAATGATAATAATTTCACTTTCTGATATTGAATTTGACTAAAATTAAACACGTTTCATTATGTAAAGGTGTTCGTTTAGTGATCTAAATTTATTTTCATTTGACGAGTCATGTTCATAGAGTTTATTATACATAATGATATATACACAGATACACATTATGCACGAACTACTGAAATCGTGTTCGGAAATCTCAAAATGTACTAGATATACGAGTCAAATAGAGATGCCAACGTATAATGAATATATTTTTCTCGTGTTTTACGATTTTATTCTATCTACACAAAGTGTAAAATAATGGAAGATCGTTTGAGGTGTTGTATTGATTACATTAAAGTCGTTACATGCCAATCGATGTACGACGATCAGAAAAAACCATAAAAATTTCAAAACAAACTAATCGGAATGTATTCAGAACGATAAGATTTCAGAAGAATCGGTTATTTATCATTCAATGTTGTAATTCTTCAACGTTCTTTAGGTTCAATGGCTAAAACGTGCATAGCGATGTTTACAACGATGCATCTGGCAGAAAAAAGTTTACGTATCATTAAGCGTAATTAAGAAATATTTTATTATTACATAGGCTTATAATTCTGAGCAGAATTATTAATAAAAAATCCGGCAGCGAGTTGCGTAACATTCCCGGCAAACAAAGTGAAAATTGCGTGTGGCATCATCTATTGTAAGATTTTATTTTAAAACTTTTATATTATTAATTATTATAAAATGGCGAAATGCTTAATTTTTGGTTAAAGATGCGTTTTATTTTAAAAAAGAAGCAAATTATAAATGCCAATAACGAGTAAAATTTTCATTAAGTTCGATCTTATTCGAGATATGACATATGAATTCTCTCTATCTCCCCATCCCTTCGACCTCCAACCACCAAAATTTAATAGTCTCAATTCTCCTAATAGGCAAATCTTCCTGCAAAATTTCAGAAAATTTTGACAAAAGGCACAGGAATTACGAGTATTAAGCTTTAAAGCGCTCCCTCCCATACACACACATACACACACACAGTATACAAAGTTGAATCAATTTCTGTATTATATCCAAACATTTTAAGGAATTTAGAACTATTTTAAATCTCAAAAACAACTTAGAGGGCGGGTACTTATAGATAATACAAAATGCATAAAGGTAAAAAGAAAAAGATGACTCAAGAATTTTGCTACAGAAAAGAACTTTTATCAATATATTCTTATACAGTATTGTTAAAGCGCATGTTTAATAACAGAATCTGCTGTGAGATAAAGAGCACAACATTCCAAAAATAATACAGCAATAAGAAAAAATATAAGTGAAATCATTTCTAATGGCTGAACATTTTGATGAATATTAAAGTTTCTTCAGCCACAGACTTGAAAATCTTGTTTAAAATCTAAAATTATATTTTAAGGCACTTTATTTGTAGTGTATATAAACTTTGTATTACAAAAAAGTTAATTTTTGTGTTCCTTAGTTTGCAATAGTTTACTACGACTACGACTACGACTACGATTCTGCAAGCTAATTACTCGTATATACATAACGCGATATTATTGAGTTTATTCTGTCATTTAATTGTGCAAACTTTAATTCATAACATCATTAAACATTTAGACTCTGTGCCTCGAAATTAAAACAAACCACTTTGAGTATTTATTATAAATTGCGTATTGTAATCACGAAGAGCCGAGGATATCAAATTTGTAATTACAATACTACTGAAAATTCTGGACGAATTCTATGTACAAGTTTTTTATATTATACACTCAAATTACTGTTAATAATAGTTCTTTACTAAGATTTTGTATCCAGTAGCGGATCATCGCACAGGAGCAACAAGCGCGAGTTGGGGCCTCCTATTGTTAGAATCTTCAAAAGTTAGCAGCTTCAAAAAGAGATTCTACGAACCTGAGGCACCCTACTATCTTCATATACACATTTAAAGATTTATTTTTAAGGAAACGTTGACTGATTATCGTTGTTTTATTAAGTAATAAATTTATTTGATAGCATTACTTAGTATTTAGAACAAGGGGGCCTCAAAACTAGATTGCGCTTTGGGTCCTCCAATTGCTTGATCTCTCAAAAGCACTTGTCAAGTATTAAGTTTCACGAAATTCTTAAATAGTGCTTAAACAATTTAATTAGGTATTAAAGTATCAGATATTTAAAAATTACTTGCATTTAGTATTTGTAAATTATTATTTTTATTGCAATTATTTTGAATTAATAAGTTGCAAGATGCATTACAATTAAAAGAATATTCTCAACACGAACTGAAATTATTGAATATAAAATGGTTTCATCTTCGACGAAATTTAAGCTAAAATATCATAGTTTCATTACGATAAAATATGACTACATTTGTACTCTTTACACTCTTCAACTTGGCTTTCACGAACCTCCTACATTATTACAACAAACTTTTAGAAGTGTTATATTTTTAAACCTCAAAAAAATGATTATATATCATCTGCATCATACATACCAAATTAAACCGGAAAGGGTGCTTAATTTACAAAATTCAAGTTGAAAACCATATAACGTTCTAGTTTTGGCAATTCATTCGGTAGAAGAGATCAATTGAAAACGAAGTATTTTATGAATACAGTAGATTCCACTTTACGACTGAGTAATTTACAATTCCTCCTCGTTGCCACATTTAGCATTAGGTTAGCATTATGTTAAAATGTACTTCCGGGAACGTGATTTCAAAAGGCTCTATGTCCTAAAAAAAGTTAAGTTGAGCTCTTGTCATCATGCTTAATTAGTACCTTTTTGCCTTCGGGCGGCACACTTTTCCAAAAATCACTTGAATTTAATAAATTTCGGGAAAATATTTAGAAAATTTTTATGTTTTAAAGTCTTTATCGAGATAACTAATTCTAAATATAAAGTTTTCACGCATTACTACTCCACAATAAATAACAAATAACATCGCGGGTCTATTTAGAAAATTAGAAAGGTAACAACTATCTTGCATATCCATATAATTACCAGAACGGACATTAAAAATAAGTTAAGAACTCTTGCTCTAAAGGAAAGTCTACAGGGTGTCAACTCTCAACTTGCTATCTGAGAACCTTTCGCAGAGGATTCGTGAATTGGTTTCTGAGCATGGCATAAACAAAAATTCGAGATTAGGAAAAAAATAGCCTATAACTTTATTTGCAATAACTTCTAACTATTCATCAATACAAAATGACATACTCGTATATTATTATATCATAAATGGCTTTTTTTAAGTATTTTGATAAGTGTATTTCAATATAATTGATTTCCTTCGTAATCTTGCATGTGAATTTAAAAACATTATTTTGGGAAGAGGTTCATAGGCGTAGGCATAAGGTCCTCTTCCAATAAGAGTCCATGGCATTAAAAAGTTAAAATCTTTGCTTTAGAGGCTTTTGTAAGAAGTTTAAAATGATCTCAAAATGTTTCTTTAGAAGTAAAGAAGCCTCTAAAAAAGGCTACAGCCAACTCAGTGTTTTTTTAGTATGTTTTTAGGTTAGTTCCTGATGTGCAATACGGTTTTTACTTTTAAAAAATAAAAAAGACAATGTCTTAAAAGTAAATTTTTGTAAAATAAATATGTTTATTTTCAGTAAATTAAATATTTACATTTAAAACGATTGGAAAAAGAGTTTTTAGAAGGAGAACTTAAGAATAAACATCGTATTGAGGTTTATTTTATTTACAAGAAAATGGAATTTTCTTTAAAATAAACATCAAATTTTTATAATAAATTTAGATTATTACTCGAATGCCCATCACAAAATCTAAAAAAGTAGTATAATGGCATGATAATGGCCTGGTTATCAAAATTCTTTTAAGTGAATTGCAAATAAAAAACGTTTTAAGACGAAATTTTTAAAAATTAATTTTCTACAAGACGTAAGTTAAATTATAATTTATTTATTTTTATATCCAATAAATGATTAAAATTTGCGCTATTTCGAGATGTCTAACGCAATATCCTAATAGAAAATTCGATAAAATTCATAATTTAAAGAGAAAAGTTTTCGTTATATTTAAAATAAAGTGAATTGTCATTTGTATATTTATAAACAAACAAATTTTTATTGTTTAGGACATTTTGGAAAAGGAATTTCTATCATCAAAAGATTTCTTTAAGGATTTCTTTTTATTAAACTTTATCAAATTGTATAAATGGTGTGTAGGGAAAGACCAACAGAAAGGTAATTTGAGAGGTTGTACAGGGGTTAAGCATTGGCTTGTACACTCACTCACTCACACGAACTGTTTTATTGAGAAGAGATTTCTCAGCTTCTCACCGAAAAAATAAATGATTCAGTGGAAAGAGCACCTATAGTTTATCATAAGAAAAACCCGAAATCGCTAAAAAATCAAATATTTTTCGTTCCACGAAACGTTAAATTTTAACGTTGAACGGCGTCTTAAATGCCATCTGCCTATTTTTAAAATAGCTTATAAGAAATAATTATTAATTACTTTATCGTCGTTAAAATTTTTTAATATATAAATTTAATAACCGCAAATAATAAATAAAGATAATATTGTTTACATAAATTGTTAAAAACAATGCAAAAATGCTCTACGGAACATCCAAGTCAAACATAGAAGACGTAATATATTAATTAATATATAATATTTATATAGAGGATGTATAGAGAAATCATAACATTTTAAAAATAAATGCAAAAATATTATATATTTATATAAAATAAATGATTAAAAATATATATTTGAAATATTTATTTACAAAAAATACTAACTCTTTAGTCGACTCTTGATGCATGTACAGATCAAAATCTGTGAATAAAATTTGCACCCTTTCTTCCTTTTTGCCTTCAAATTGATAAACACAAAATACGTTTGAAGGATAAGCTTCTGGATAATTCGGACTCGTAAAAGTTCCATTCTTGGATGTCTCACTACTGATTGTCTGATCACAACTGGTGGCAACTGCCAAATAAAACAACAGTTCTATAACTTCAAGTACAATTATTTTAAATCATTCAAATAAATGAATATATTCAAATTTGATTCACTTAATATTTATAATTATCTGTACATCATCATCGATATTTTCTAATTCCCGAAGCATCTGTTTGAAGAGATGGTGACACGGAAGAATACGATGAATTTCTGAATGAATTTCTAAACTTTATACGCTCGTATATGAAGTAGATGTATGAAGTAACTACAGATGGATTGCTGCATTTATCTTCGTTACACGAAGTTAATATTTATGGTTAAGTTATATTATCCTCAATATTTTCTAATTCCTGAAGCACTTGTTCACTAAGATGATGATGATGAAAACCTAGTTCTTACTACAAATGAAGAGAATTTAATAATGGAAGATAAATCGCTGCAACGATTAGCTGGAGAAATGAGAAAATAAGTGAAAAACAAGTAAAAAAACCACTTTTCTTAACTATCGATTGATAATTGTTTTATCTTTTAGTGAGTGTCACGATGATCGTTACAGGAATGCCGTTAAAAAAGTTGAAAATATTGATGATAATAAAAGTAAAATTTAACAGAAAAGAAGCTGATGAATATGAAATTGAAGATACCAAAATACTCGCTTATTTTGAAGACAAATTATCTTATTTTTAAGAAGACGGCTTCTTCGCTGATGAAGATAAACTTTTAGAGTTGTAATTTGCGCTATTTCGAGATGTCTAACGCAATATNAGAATTTATATCATAAAAATTTTTTTTGTAAATTTAAAAAAAAATATGTCGTGGATTTATACGAATATTTCCGAAAAAATTAGAAAAAAATTGATTTAAAAACGATATTTGTCACGTAACATCATTTTAAAAAATCGTCTAAAAGTCGCTCATTAATCATAAATGATTAATGGATTATCGGGCAAGTTCGTGTAAATTAATATATCATATTTTATTAGAAAAACATTTATCAATATTATAACTTTTTAAGTGACGTCATCAAATTAATAATATTGATAGTAATAAATTTAATTTTTAAATATTTTTTATGTATAATTGAGTCGCGTTTTTAGCTTTATATCTTAAAAAATATATATTATTATTTTAAAATTTAATTCTAAATCAGAATTAAAGTTTTCATAATTAATAATTAAACGGTTCTAATCGATTCTTAATTAATAATTAACGTAGATAATCTTAATAAATATATTTAAAATTTGGGTTTTTCAGTAAAAATTTATAATAGAAATTACGTTTTTTTCTATATTAATTGGGGAAAATGATTAATTTAATGTAATGAATAAAGTTTGCTGTAAATTCATTGAAATTATCATAAACTTTATGAAAATATCTTCTCCCAACATCAGGAGTTCGTACTAAATGAACGGGAAAGTTTAGTCGATGCTCGACAAAAAGAAAAAAAGTCAGTTAACGAGATTCCCGTGTCATCAACGAGAATACAAAGAAACTAAATTGAGATTCATCCCTAACAATTATCGGATGATAAAATTAATGGAAACATTTTATTTTAATTAATGCCTAGAGGCTAGACCATTATAGAAAATCATACAAAGTCCCGAATCTTTCATTTAGAGACGATGTTTAATAGAAGATGAATTTGAGAGTGTGACTTCATCGAAATTAAGAGTGAACGTTTTGGGCATTATAAAATGAAATTGAAGGCCTGAAAACACTAATCGACGATTGCATTAGTCAAAATGGAAGAAAATTTACATCCGTCTGCAGAGTAGAAGGACTTCCGATTGGAATAAATAAGGATTTCGCCACTGAGTTTAATTGAGAAATTATTTTATTTTATTAATATTTATTGTTTTTACTGCTAAATATAAAATTAAATAAAAGAAATAATATAACTTTTAAATTTAATGTTATATAGTTACGAAATATATTCTTAATTCCTCGCATAAATAGGTTTTAATATAAGTGTAAGTATAAGATTATGTCAATAAAATTACTTAAATTTTTTGGAATAATAATGCAAATTATTATCAAAAATTAATTTTAAGATGCTTTGAAATTATATTATATTACTATTTTCTTACTTACTCTTTAAGACGAAGCTTAATATCCCTTTTATGTAGGCCTATACTTTAATTTTAGAAATATATAATTTAACTAAATTTAATCTAATTTTAGATTAATTAAACATTTATAATTAAAGTAATTTTATAGTTAAAGTTAAGTATTAGCGCAGCAAACAAACCATCTTTCTCTAATGATGTGAAAACTGAACAAAGTACATTATTAATTTAGTATAAAATGGTTGAAGATAACTGAAAATTTTACATAAATTATAATTCCATATTTAATTTTTTAATTTATTTAATTATTAATTAAATGCACATAGATTACAATGTTATAATTACCATTAGAAATCTGTGGTGGAATAATCGAGAGCGTGTTTGCTTTTACACCCGCTTGATTTGCGAAAAATTACGTAACTAATAATATTTTAGTTGTTATTTATTAAATTTTATTATATTTCTTGTTAAAACAATTGTAAAGTTCCTTTAACAGGAACAAAATGTATTCATACAAACAGTACAAAAGTATGTTGAATTGATAAATCAGAGTTCCTAATGGAAAACGATTTTCAGAGTTATAGAAAAGGAAATTTAGCAAAGCTAATTAGATATTTCCAGTTTAGATTTTCTGTCTGGTTTAAAGGAATAAATCGAGGCAAACTTTTCAGTAAACAGACACGAAAATTCAGCTTTGCTAGTACTTAAGACATTCTGTTTGAACAAGAGTAATAGGTCTTTTCCTTTTGTGGGTAACTCTTTGAATTTGAAAGAACAAGACTTACTACAAATATTAGAATAGCAGTTTAACTGCATCTGATTAAACATTTAATGATTCTTTTAGCATATTATTTATAGAACTGTTTGTCTTATTTTTTACAATTTCCAAATAAATGTTACTAGGTCTTAAGGAGTCTTATTTGATGATTGTTTCCAAGATATCTTTTCTAATATTTTTAAAAGCGTTGGTAGTGCTCTAAACATTAATATTAGACCAGCTATTTTTTCTTTTCTCATATACAAAATTCTGTACTTAATTAGAAATTTATCTGTATTCCTGGTTGCATTTAATACCATATTTTCTGTATATGTAATATTGTATGTAAAACGATTTGATAAATTTGCTAATTTTATACGAGAAAAACCACAATTAAAATTTGTACTTATTGAAATACCTACTAAATAAATAACACAAAAATATGAATTATAACTAATTCAATTTTTAATTTATTAAGAATATTCAGTTAAGTTATCTAATAATTTTTTATTTTAAATAAATCGTATATAGTTATTTATTTGGATATATTTCTATTACAATTTATTCATTTAATTTTTTTCTATAGCCCTTATCAATATGTATTGAGATTATTCTTACTAAATATTAACTATAAAAAAATAAATCTTTTTATATAAACATAAAATTATATTTCAAATTATAGGCTATATTTTTTACAGAGTTGTACTGAGGCCCTCTCATAGGTGTGCCAACAGGGCTATCGTTTCCTGGCTTTACATTTACGAAGCCTCAAAAAACATTTATTATAAATTATTAATTCCATCTCATTCATTTCTTTGTAAGAAAACACAATTTTTAATGTACTTTTTAATATTGAATGCTTCTAAAAGGCCTCCAAGAAAGTCTAGATATTTGAAAACTCCTGCTAATATTTATCCTATTCACATCAAACTAAATTGGATGCTTCATTCAAGAAAAATCATCAAATTTATAAAATTACAATAAAATTATTGCTTAATAAAACATTTTCAATATAATTTCTCAAATACAAACTTCACTTCAAAAATTATATTGTCATGTTACTTTTAATATTTGTTTTTCTATAAAAACTTTCTAGCAATAGTTTTCCACTTTGCTATCGTTCAATGTCTTTTCTTTATATAGCAATATTCTATTTAACAATCTTTCTTCAAGTTTTATGGTTGACTTCTAAGATTATAGTTTATGGCCACTCACCTACCTAACAAAAAAAAGGCAAAGACTATTGAGTTCCTAAGTCCAATGAAAGATTTACGATGGTACAACAATAGCTGAATAGTTGAAAAGTTCAGTGTTGATCTCGGGATTGGTTCTTATAAGCATTGACTTAAGCTTAATATCTCAAATAACAGTTTTCAGAAGACTATTAGAGACTGAATGCTTTTCTTATAAATGAAAGAACCTTAAAAGTATCAACTAAGATAGAATTATGAGCTGTGATGGCTCGGTTAGAGACACTTTGATATCTTCTCTTATTACATACTTGTAGCTCCTTTCTACAACTTAAAAACAAAGTTATATATTTATTAATAAATTTACATTATTTTCAATGTAAATTTATTAAATAATACATGTATCTTATCGGACTGCAATTTTTAAACTGCACACCTACATTCACACTCATTAGTCTGTCCGTCCATCCTTCATTAATCTCGAGAAGGGAGTTTAATATATGAACACGCAGACCAAATATGAAAAGCCTAGGGGATGGATTCCGTGTCTGGTCCGGATTTTCACGTATTTACCTGGATACATATCGAAATCTATAATTAAGACCCTCTATATATGAACTTCCAGCTGGCCCTCGAGTCACACGAAAATCGAGACCAGATACAGAAAACTTATTTTTAAATAAATTAAAGTACGATTAAAAACTGCATCTCGGAATTGTGACGTAATTGTTCGTTATATCTCATTTCTACACCTTAAAATATTCTTTCTATTTTAAAAAAATTATAAAATTAAAAAATTTCTTAGAAATTAATTAACAAAATTAATTTTTAAGATAAAATTTTATCCATTTAAGCACTTTCTCCTTAAAATTTGAAAATTATTATTTATTTTTAGAAATTTTTCTAAAACAATTAAATTTCACAGAAAAACATTACAAAATGACTTTAAAAATATATAATATAATTAAATTAATCTAATAACTTTAAAAGGGAATTTTCTATTTAAAAGAATGA